TTTAACGTACTCATATATTGTAAAAACCACATGTTGCCTTCATTTTAGTTTTATTCTAATTGTAGSGATCTTTGCTAATTTTTTGACGAATTATTATTGCATTGGAGAGTCAAAATAATTATAATTACCAAAAGTATAATATTTTTAAATTACCTAAATTTTATAAGCTTGATGAAAAATTATAACACTTGTTTTCAAAATTCTTTGGAATCTTAAAAAAAACAATTATAGAGATAACTTATGTAAATATTTTAAAAGTTTTATAATTAATTTTCATTAAGTTGTATTCAAATGGTTGTTTAATTTTTAAGTCTGAGCAGAATATGGGTAGATGAAAAGTACCTATATTAGATTACTTGGTGGGTGGATATGAATGATAAATAACAGCACCATGACACTCTTTGTATATTTAGTATAACAAAATTGAGTCGTTTTTTCAAAATATGCAATTCATTATTTATTAGTTATTAACTTACAAAGTTATTTTTYTGTAGCTTTCGTATTATTATAATAATTCTCATCAGAAATAAAGATATCCAAACAACGTCACCAGGCATGATGATCACATTTTATACTTTTAAAGTAAATTAATACTATTTTCATCACAATATTAAATTTCTTGTTRTTTACCTGAATTTGCTGGAAGTGACAGGCGTGGCGTAATATAATACTACAGATGCTATTTCTCGAGAATTTCTAACGTTTGGAATAACAACGCAYATCTAGATTGATATTAATGTTGTGCAAGTAGTATGTTGYACAAAATCCATTTATTGTGATTTTACGCTATGATTATTTTGGTGTGAACTATAGTTATCCCAAGGTAATGTCGTATACAACGATGGCTGGACACAAAGTATAAATTGTACAAACCGTTCAACTTACTCCACGRTTGTTRACGTTTTATTATAATTATATTGCTGTGTTAAATATTTCTGCACCCACCGACTTTTTGTATTTAATTATCCTCTGGTCCATCATTTCAGCCACTCTCTTTTTCATCACCACTAGACTTCACCGCTGGTGGTTTTATTTTAATCCACGGGTACGCGGTTAATTTACTTCAGTTTTGCTGTAGGTSAGTAGSTATGTAGGYCCTGGCGATGGTACCACCGCAGCCACACGCCATCACCGATAACCGATTTTAATATATTATACTGGAATTAATCTTATATAATACCACGTATAATATAATATTATATAYAGGGGTATTATTGGATCACTTTAATATTTGACGTATAATTAACCAGACTATGAAACAATCGATATATGGGTTGTGGTTCACAACTAACATGAGACTATAATATATTATCAACAAATAGGTATAAGGATGATAAAAAGAATAAGAGCAATAAWGAAAATCATTTAAGTTACATGGGTGAATTATATGTCCCATTAAACAGTTTATACTTTTCAATATTACAATCAGTGTTCGCTGTTATTACAATCACTCTGTATAATGCGCACTGTACAAAATTATTATAAGTATTATACCTATGTCCTATACTGTATACTAATGTTGATTTTGTTTATT